CATACCCAAAGATTAAATCGGGAAATTGGATGTCGAAAGGATTTTACATGTATGAATTTGTAATCGAAATAGTTTTACTCACTATTCACTTAATACTAGATTCATGCTACTTGCTAGATGTTCCCATGATATGTGAGTTCTTGAATTAAAGAGTTAATTCAAGAATAAGTGTTAATATGAATAACTCAAATTACAAAGAGTTGTAAACCCACTACTAGTATTAATTGTGAACCTAAAAGGTCACACCAATTTTTTGAATGAAGGTAAAATTCAAATAGTATTTCTAAAGAGTTAGAAATAATTGACAAATCTAATTTGATTAGATATCATTAAAGGAATATATTAAAAAAATCAATTAGATTGATTAATTGAATTTTGAATATTAATTTAGTAATTAATAGAATTACTAATTAATAGTTGGAATTTAAAATTGGATTTTAAATTTCAAATCCAAATAATAATATAATTATTAAATAAGGAAATGGAAGAATAGATTAAAATAATAAAGTCTTGAAAAATGTTTTCAAGAATTATTATTTTATTATTTATCTTTAATATGATTGAAGATTAAATAATAATAAAAATAAATTAATTATGGTGGTTAGGAGTTGTTAACTAATCCACATAATTAATCTTATTCTTATTAATACAATAATACTTATAAAATTTTAAATTCCGCTGTAAACTCTGTTCCGTACGGTATATCGAACCCAACAGTGGTATCAGAGCCACGTTACAATTTGCATCTTTAAAATCAGATTTTGATTTGAAAAATTGTTAAAAACACGAACTGGAATGAAAATCGAATAGAGTATTCGAAAACACGAGTCGTGAAGAATGACACGACTCGTGTGACCGGTCGTGTGGGGTCACACGACCCGTGTGAGAAAGTCACACGAGTCGTGTGACTGGTCGTGTCACCTCACACGGGTCGTGTGAGGTGTGACACGACTCGTGTGACATAAAATTTTCTGAAATTTTTCATAGTCACTTTCGTATTTTTCACACGAGTCGTGTGACATGTCACACGAGTCATGTGACTTGTAACACGAGTCGTGTGACTGATTTTTGATCAGAAACGAGCTGCTTTGACTTAATATGAGTCATTACTATATCAACATATTAAACTAGTGAATTTATATGGTTGATTTAGGGATGATCATGAGCCTTTTATTCATAATGATGAATGATTGCATTTTTTATTCAATATGATTGATGGTTGCATTTTTTATTTAATGTTATTAAAAGAATGTAATTTATCGAGACCTGCGAGTCTCTTGATTTATTGTTTGTAAAATTTTA